ACCTGGCGCACCCCTTTTTTTAGCCTACTTAGGCCCTGAATCGCATGGCTGCTAAGCCGCGCGTCATTATTTTAAGTAGACTAGTTCTAACTTTAGTTTTTCCATGACCGCACACTACTGCGGCCTTGTCGAGAACCACGGACGACAGGTCGTACTGCCGACTCCCGTTGTTTCGAACGAACGTCGATGACGTCACACGTGAACGACGTCATACGTCATCGACGCCAGGCTTTAGGTCCCTTAGTTCTCGGATTGGTCTGAATAAACTTTGGTAGCATCAATCTCATCATGTTCCTCAAATCCAACGAAAAGAGTCGGACAACGTCTAACCTTGAAAATCTCGGGCAAAAACCCTCACAGGGCTTTCTGTACCGACACCGTCGTTCAAACATTTGAGGAGGGGTGGGGAACCAGAAGGTGGGGGAAACTTTTGGAACAGAGGACCGAATGTCAACAGATCCTGATGACAAGGCCACTCTACTGCTTACAACACCCCGTTCCATATCTAAGTCGTTTGCAAAGGGTTTGACTACCCGAGCGAAAGAAATTGCGATGAAGAGATCCTCAGGGCGTCGGTGCTCCGTCGCAGGAGGGACAACTCCGAACTTATGCTTTCGGGGCCAGACAGGTTGGCCCTATCGACAATCTTGTTCCATCCGAGGAGGCATACGCCGTCGCTGCAAGCACAGCTTACGACTTAGAGGCGTTCAGTCATAATCCCACGCACTGGCACCGCTGGCTTTTCGGCCAAGCACAATTGTCAATTGTGCAAACCAACGGTTCCTCTCGTCGTGGGTTGGATTACCATTGCGACGGCGGTGCATCAGTAGGGTAAAACTAACCTGTCTCACCACGGTCTGAACCTAACTCACGTTCCTTATTGGTGGGTGACCAGAAGTTCGGCCAAACCCAAATTTTTCAATTCGAGTCTCGCAGTGCCGCTCCCTTGCGACAGACGTTCCCATCGGGTTGGAAGGCTGGGGCGCCCTTATCCCCGAGGGGAGGTCCCGTAACAAGGTTCGTCAGCCAGTTCACGTCATTCGAGGCAAGCCAGCCCCACCATCCCTAGTGCATCCGTCGTTGCAGCCTTCCCATTTCCCAACACTTGGATCGTCATTGCGTCGCTCAATGGCAAAAGACCGTTGATACCTGTCATCATAAAGCCCTATACAAGTCAGAAGAGTTGTGCAGATGTTCAGGTCGTATAGAGGAGGAATGCTAAGCATGGGCAAGCCTCTTGTCGAGGACCTGATGCATTTAAGAAACTACACCTACACAACTTTCCCCTTCCAGAACGGAAGGGGTAGGACTTGCTCTTGACATATTTGCTACTTCCACCCTAATCCTTGAGAGCAAGTCCTTTCGCACGTTGAACTAACAACTTTCCGCTTCAAGGACGGAAAGGGTAGGACTTGCTCTTGACATATTTGCTACTTTCACGCTAATCCTTGAGAGCAAGTCCTTTTGCACGTTAAACTAAGACTTTCGTTCTACAACTCCCCCATACCCTCCACATCCACATGGATGCAAGGGTCGAGCATCCAAGAATCACCCCAACGGGTGATGAGGTGGGTGGGCAAGATCGCCGAGAGGCAAGTAGGGGAGACCCCTAACCTTTCTCACGATGGTCAAAACCCAGCTCACCTTCCTTGTTGGTGGGTTAACAATCCAACACTTGGTGAATTCTGCTTCACAATGATAGGAAGAACCGACATCGGAGGATAAAAAAGCAACGTCGCTATGAACATTTGGCTGCCACAAGCCAGTTATCCCTGTGATAACTTTTCTGACACCTCTAGCTTCAAGTCCTGAAACGCTAAAGGATCGATAGGCCATGCTCTCATAGTTTTTTTTTGTTTTTTTTTTTTAAGGGTTGTAGAGGTGTCGGGGTTTATGACCGAGCCGGGGTCATCCCTACTGACGGCGTAGACCCCTAGGCATAGCCCTCAGAGCCAATCATTTTCCCAAAGTTACGGATCCATATTGCCGACTTTCCTTACCTACTACATTCTTCCTTTGACCAGAGGCTGCTCACCTAGGGGACCTGATGCGGTTATGAGTACGGTCGCGCGTGAGAGGTACCCACAACTCCAGATTTTCAAGGGTCGTCGGGGGCACGCTGGACACCACATAACGTGTGGTGCTTTGTCGGGCGCTGCACCCTATCTTCGGTTGATCCGATTCCAGGGTAGGCGAGCCGTCAATAAGGAAAGAGAACCCTTCCCACGGCCCCCGCCGGCATCTCCGGAGCTGCTTACGTTACCGTCCACCTCCACAACCCAGTTCAAAAATAGTGGTATTTCACTTGCACCGTAAAGCTCCCACTTATTCTACACCTCTCAAGTCATTTCACAGAGTCGAACTAGAGTCAAGCTCAACAGGGTTTTCTTTCCCCGCCGATTCTTCCAAGCCCGTTCCCTTGGTTGTGGTTTGGTAGGATGGTAGATAGGGACAATGAGAATCTCGTTAATCCATTCATGCGTGTCACTAATTAGATGACGAGKCATTTGGCTACCTTAAGAGAGTCATAGTTACTCCCGCCGTTTACCCGCACTTGGTTGAATCTCTTCACTTTGACATTYAGAGCACTGGGCAGAAATCACATTGCGTCAACATCCGTTGGGACCATCGCAATGCTTTGTTTTATTTAAACAGTCGGATTCCCCTTGTCCGCAGCAGTCCTGAGTCGGCAGTTTGATGCTTAAGGAGAGTCTCACGGCCCCATCTGAAAGGTGGGGACATAAGACATTTTATGTCTGTCGGCACACTGGCACGCGGGCTCCGCCCTCGCGGCGAGAGCAGCTCGGGCAAACCACCGGCAGCCAACGGCATCGAGGCGTAGACCCCTAGGCATAGCCCTCAGAGCCAATCCTTTTCCCAAGGTTACGGATCCATATTGCCGACTTCCCTTACCTTCTACATTCTTCCTTTGACCAGAGGCTGCTCACCTAGGAGACCTGATCCGGTTATGAGTACGGTCGCGCGTGAGAGGTACCCACAACTCCAGATTTTCAAGGGTCATCGGGGGCACGCTGGACACCACATAACGTGTGGTGCTTTGTCGGGCGCTGCACCCTATCTTCGGTTGATCCGATTCCAGGGTGGGCAAGCCGTCAAGAAGGAAAAAGAACCCTTCCCACGGCCCCCGCCGGCATCTCCGGAGCTGCTTACGTTACCGTCCACCTCCACAACCCAGTTCAGGAATATTAACCCGACCCGCTTTCGATGTGCGGCGTGCAGTGCGCCCTTGATACAAGGTTTCCACATCTCTTAGGGCCGACTGACCCATGTCCAACCGCTGTTCACATGGAACCCTTCTTCACTTCGGTCTTCAAAGTTCTTATTTGAATATTTGCTACTACCACCAAGATTTGCACTGGGACCCGCTTCACCTAGGCTCATGCTCTAGGCTTCGCAGCAGGCCTCGCGCCCTCCTTCTCGTCACGACGTCAGAATCACCACGACGGCCGAGCATAGGTCGCGCGCTTCAGCGCAATCCATTTTCGGGGCTGCGGCAGGTGAGTTGTTACACACTCCTTAGCGGATTTCGACTTTCATGACCACCGTTCTGTTGTTTGTATCAATCAACACCCTCTGTGGTGTCTGGGTTAGCTCGCAATTTGGCACCGTAGCTCGACTTTCGGTTCATCCCGCATCGCCAGTTTTGCTTACAAAAAATGGCCCACTTGGAGCTTCATTGACCCTCGGGGTTTTTTAAGTAACCCCGAAATCTTACCTATTTAGAGTTTGAGAATAGGTCGAGGGTGTTTCACCCCCGAGGCCTCTAATCATTCGCTTTACCCGATAAAAATGTTCAACAGCTTCAACTATCCTGAGGGAAACTTCGGAGGGAACCAGCTACTAGACGGTTCGATTAGTCTTTGACCCCTATACCCAAGTCCGACGAACGATTTGCATGTCAGTATTGTAGCGAGCATCCACTAGAGTTTCCTCTGGCCTCGCCCTGCTCAGGCATAGTTCACCATCTTTCGGGTCCCAACGGGCATGCTCACACTCGAACCTCTCACATCGAGGCCCATAACATCTAAGGGCATCACATACCTGTTATTGCCTCAAACTTCCGTTGACTAGTCGTCCACTAGTTCCTTTAAGAAGCTGGCCACGAGGAAAGGTCCCCACGTAGCTATTTACGAGGTTGAGGTCTCGTTCGTTAACGAAATTAACCAGACAAATCACTCCACCAACTAAGAACGACCATGCACCACCACCCATAGAATCAAGAAAGAGCTCTCAATCTGTCAATCCTTGCTATGTCTGGACCTGGTGAGTTTCCCCATGTTGAGTCAAATTTAGCGGCAGGCTCCACGCCTAGTGTTGTCCTTCCATCAATTCCTTTAAGTTTCAGCCTTGCGACAATCCTTTCCCTGCAACCTGGAAGCTTTGATTTCTCACAAGGTGCTGTCAGAGTCATCCAATAGACATCCGCCAATCCCTAGTCGGCATCGTTTATGGTTGAGACTAAGACGGTATTTGATCGTCTTCGATCCCCCAACTTTCGTTCTTGATTAATGAGAACTTCCTTGGCAAATGCTTTCGCAGAAGTTCRTCATCCATAAATCCAAGAATTTCACCTCTGACAATGGAATAMGAATGCCCCCAACCGTCTCTATTAATCATTACTCCAATCCCGACGACCATTATCGCGTTATTCCATGCTAATATGTTCAGAGCACAGGTCTGCTTTGAACACTCTAATGTTTTCAAAGTAATAGCATCGACTCTGAATCCCAGCCAATAAAGGCAAGGAACGCATACCCGGCAAGAAAGGCGAAAGGGCCGGTACATGCCCGCAAGAGCGGACCAACCCCTCCCACCCAAAATCCAACTAAGAGCTTTTTAACTGCAACAACTTAAATATACACTATTGGAGCTGGACTCGGAATTACCGCGGCTGCTGGCACCAGACCTGCCCTCCAATGGATCCTCGTTCAAGGAGTTTACGACTGGTCTCATTCCAATTACCGGACTCAAAAGAGCCCAGTATTGTTATTTATTGTCACTACCTCCCTATGTCAGGATTGGGTAATTTACGCGCCTGCTGCCTTCCTTGGATGTGGTAGCCATCTCTCAGGCTCCCTCTCCGGAATCGAACCCTAATTCTCCGTCACCCGTTACCACCATGGTAGGCCTCTATCCTACCATCGAAAGTTAATAGAGCATAAATTTGAATGGAACATCGTCGGCTCAAAGGCCATGCGATTCAACAAGTCACCATGATTTGCCGCAACAATGGGCAAGCCCGGATCAACCTTTTATCCAATAAATACATCCCTTCCAGAAGTCGGGATATGCTGCACGTATTAGCTTTAGAATTACCATGGTTATCCGTGTGGTAAGGAGACCACCAAATAAATGATAACTGATTGAATGAGCCATTCGCAGTTTCCTTTTTTTAAAAGGGTTGTGGAGGTGTCGGGGAATCAACTCTGACCGGGGAGGCGGCGGGAGGCTGCACGCACCAGGTTCAGCCAATCCGTCGACGTGGTGGCCTCACCCACACAGAATCGCTCAAGACAAGGCTCAAACGTCAGCCACCCACACGCACCGCCAGTCTCGCCTCAGGACTGGTGCTACTCGTGGGCCTGCGACTTGGTTCAACCCCTGCGAACTCAGGGTCTTCATCCCCTATCGCACCCCTGCCGGGAGGCCAGTAGGCACCACAGTCGCCTGGGTGCTGCAGCGGATGAATGACCCTGCTAGGAGGGGGTCGTCCCAATCGCGCCTGGCGGGACCCATCACAACTGAGTCCAACCCCTTCAGGGCTGAATCCCCCCATGTCCTGAACAAACCCGAGGGGAGTGTAATAACAACCGTTGCGGCGCCCGAAGGTACCGCACGGGTTCCAAAGTCCGCAGACCCGGACAAACTGAACCACTATTCAGCCACATGCGCCCACTGGACCCGGTTTCCAGGACCCTAAGCTGAGTATTGGCCTCAGCAAGCTTGTACCGGGTTGGTATGTAGGGGTTTGTTCCCGGGCCCCGGTGGTCTTATTTGGGATGAAAAGCGCTATGTTTCTCCAAAAAAAAAAAAAAAAAAGGAGGGGGAAAAAACCCCGCGGTGGAGAGCAAATCTCGCTCCATTTTTTTTTTTTTTTTTTACGTGACCATTCTCGACAATCGTACGAGGGTGGTGGACTCCCTGCTCGCCTGCCGAGTCTCCGGCTGCCGGCGTTTCTTCTTCTTTCTCTCCCCCACCTTTCGACTCACTTTGAAAGCCCGCGTTGGAGGGCCTCTTTTTGTAATCAGCGATCTTCAAGGCGTTGTAGAGGTTTATACTCGCACCCTCACACACGGTCCAGTATGCTCGCACCCTCACACAGGGTCCAGACGCACAGACACACACACACACACAAACACAGAGAGAGAGAGAGAGAGAGAGAGGGGCGTTGTAGCCACGTTGTTTGAAAAGAAGAAACGCAATCGCCATAGCCGCCTTTGAAAAGGAAGAGCAATCGTCATAGCCGCCTTTGAAAAAGAAGCGCAATCGTCGCCTTTGGGAAAGAAGAGGGAGGGAGGCGGCGATCTCAGGCATCTACAGAGGTTCACAGCGGCGATGGCGGCGACCAACTCATCAGCCGTTTTCCTCTCTGCCGTGGACAGGTGTGCAGCTGCAGACTCGCCAGGGAAACGCACACTGTTGGAGCGGTCTCACTCCGTGCGCCTGGTCGGGACCCCAGTTACTCGACGGGCGGCTGTCTGGAGGAAGGCATTCGGCCTGGGGTCCAATTTTCTCCGGCGGACGATCTCCTCGCTGGGCTTCGCTATGGCATCCGCAGTTACGGAGAAACCGCCGGCAACGTCCAAGTGTCTGTGGGAGGACGTGGAGATGGCTCCTGAAGATCCTATCCTCGGCGTGAGTAACTTTCTTTTCTTTTTTTTTCCTGCTCTCGACTTGTCCACAATCACCCCTTCACCGGCAATACTCTTTAGTCAACTTGAATCCATAGTGATATCTGAATCCATCATCTGCGAATCCTGCGCTGTGACGATTCACGCTTGTGCGACTGTTGTCCCTGACCTGTGCGGCCGACCATTCTTGTTGTTGATCCTCTGTACTGTTGATCCTGACCTTGTGCGGCTGTTGTTGATCCTGACCTGTGTGCTGTCGTGAAGGTTTAACAGACCACTCCGGGCCCTTCGATCGTGTTTTTTTTTTGTTGTTGTTGATTTTTGTGTTTTTGGTGATCCAGATGGTTTGTAGGGGTCCCTATTTTACTCATGCCTCCGATCATTGCCTGTGCGGCCCGTTGAATGCTTGAGAAAGTCGCCGACTCACGACTCGGCTGTGTGACGCATTCGGGGTGTTCGTACGAGCGACCGACTCAGACTCTGTGTGCGGCGTGTGTGTGTGGCCCTCCGGCTCACTCTTATACTTGTTGACCCTAATGCAATAGAGTACCCTCTGATATGTGTGCGAGTTCCACTGTGGTAACTGTGCGGGATAACCCGGTCCGTAGTATGCGTTGAAATCGACGATGTGCGACTCAAAACTGCCCTGCGCGTGTTGTCCACTGCCGGAAGACAGACAATGGGGCTCGCTCCACTACAGTAACTCCCGACATGCACAAAAGATAAATTATGGCGGTGGGTCTTTCCGAGTACTAGCGGGAGATTCATTCCCATACATTTCGAGAGTAGTGGAGCGAGGCCCAGTGGGACTATCTGTGACAGACGAGGTGTTGTCCTCTCATCTGGTACCTGTGCGACGAAAATCGAGAGACTCAGTGCCGGAGAAGACCAAGCGACCTGGGAGAGACGAGGTGTCTTGATCCTTTGCGTGGGTGGTCGCTGATACACCCTTCTTGGGCGGCATGGGCGGCCCAGTCTATGCTGTGCAATCACGCTCGGCGGAAATCTAGTTGCATGTTGATGGGAAACAGTACACAGTGCAAGCTAAATGGTATGTTTTGCTGACGAACGGTACTATTACCGTCTTCCCTCGAATAGAACGTACGCTCATTATGGCTGTATCTCGACTGAAAGCTGCCCCAACTACACGCATAATGACCGCACGTTCTATTCGGGGAAAGAATGTAAGTCTTGCTTGTCCCCCCGTATTCCGACGATGGTGCTATTTCATTCGAGTTCATTGGATGTGAATGTCGACCATTTCGGTCAAATGCCAATGCTATATATAGCTGAATCTCTCTATATCATGGTCCCACCCCTATGTAGAGAGGACGTAACTATTTTTCTCTCCGAGCTGGCCATGGGGGCTTCTATATGTATATTCCGGAAATTATATGCAGTCGCATGCATATGGGTCCAGAAGTGTGCACCACTCGGTTTAGTAGGTGTTGCATGGCAACCACTAGTTTATGAGACGGTCAGGCAAATTGAATGTCGAAGCAACCACCTCGAGCAACTGTGTACGAAATCGAGGTTGCTTTACTAATCGGGGGCCTGGTCCTACTAGTGAAGGAGATCGGATAAAATTCGTGAATCTGGATGTGATTTGCGCAGAAATGCAGAAAAGCTTGTCAATGGCAACTTTCTGCATCTCTCCACAAACACGTGCAGATTCACTCAATGAGGTGCAGTATCCTTATTTGTTATATGGTGAGATCGTAGATGCTACTGCCCTCTACTGTGTCTTGGGGCTGTACTATGTTTTTGGGCTGTACTGTCTTTGGGCTGTACTGTCTTTGGGTTGTATTCTTAGTGTGTGCTTGTAGTATAATTAGCATCGAGTAGCGAAGAGTAAAGTAGAGTAGAGGATCGTAGAGTCTTTGGGCTGTACTGTGTCTTTGGGCTGTACTGTCTTTTGGGTATACTGTGTCTTGGGGCTGTGCTCTGTTTGTGGGCTGTGCTGTGTCTTTGGGCTGTGCTGTGTCTTGGAGTGGTACCGTGTCTTTGGGTTGTAGTTTAGTGTGTGCTTGTAGTATAATTAGCATAGAGTAGCGAAGAGTAGAGTAGAGGAGCGTAGAGTAGAGTAGAGGAGCGTAGAGTAGAGTAGAGTAGAGGAGATTAGCGTAGTTTAGCTTTGAGTAGAATAGAGTGATGTGTGCAGTGTTAATCCTCTTCGCCCGAGTGTTTGACCGATGGGGTCAGTGGAGAGACGGGAGGTTCTTGGGATTGTTGGTTAAGTTTTGGCTGTGGATTTTCATCATCCCATCATTGCCTTGATATCGCATCGTGTGTTTGCGTCGATTGGCGTTTCTCATCATGTGATTGTCTTGTGTCTTGTGTCTTGTCTTTGGGATGTACTGTCTCAGATGGAACAGCCATGGTAAGGTGTATGCTTTTGGGGCTGTATTATGTCTTTGTTTGTTTTACGACGAGATCGTGGACGATGATGATGATCCACAAGCTCGATGGTGGTACTAATAATGTAAACGTTTGCTCCTGCTCCTGCTTCTGCTGCTGGTCATTGTCGTTGAAAAATGGTGACAACAGTTCCTGAAGCGGTTTGCTGGATGACGGATGCTTATAGGTTTTCCAAAGTGATATAGACGCCCACTGATAGCATTTCTTTGATTTAAAATTGTGAGTGTTAATCCTGAATCCTTTGGTATATGACGTATCTGCGGTGAATTTTAATTAATTAATGGTGATTACTGTTTGTGTTTGTGTGTGTGTGTGGAACGATCAGGTGACGCTCGCGTACAATAAGGACACGAGTGCGGTTAAGTTGAATCTAGGTGTGGGTGCCTACCGGACCGAGGTATGGGACTCTTTTTTGTTTTTGTTTTTTGGAGACTTTCTTTCTTGCTTGTTTAGTCGCTTCCACCCCCATGTCCTCTCTTTAGTTTTTGGGGAAACTACTCGGGAGTCACAAAAATGAATTATAATTGCACTACGGGCCAAGATACAGTTTCGAAGTGCAGTTCGGGCAATGTGTACAACCCAGCTCTCTGGCCAGGTAGGGTGCCCGACGCACAATTGCAAAGTATATCTAGGCCCATGGTGCAATTTTAACTCGTTTTTGTGACTCTACTGAGGTTACCCCTTATTTGTTTCTGCCAATGACCCAGAGGAATGTGCGCGTACTGAGTCTGACTGAACGCGTAATACATCGCAATATTTGACTTCGTGTTCGTGAAGTGTCGGCCATTGGTTCTTCTTTTTGTTCTTCTTCTCCCCTCTTTCTTTTTGATCCCCACTTGTTTTTTGTGTAATCAGTGTTTGCACCTTTCTTGCCTGTCAATGACCCAGAGTCTTTGTCTGTGTAGGAAAACGTCCTGGCGGAGATCTGATCTGCACGACAGGGTAACTAGGAGTCGTTAAAATTTCAACTGATACTGAGTCTGTCTCGATGCCCGGGTGTGCGCCCGCGTCGAGGATGACAGAGGCACTTTTTTTTCTTTTCCGGACCGTTTCTCGATTTATGCGTTTATTTACATCTCAACTGAGACTGAAGTCTGTGTCGATGCCCGGGTGTCTGTCAAGTGAGAGCGGCCGCGTCGCGGAGGGCGGAGGCGGTTTTTTCTTTTTTTTTAATAATTTGGACCATTTCTCGATTTATGCGTGTCATCCTTGCGCAGGGGCCATGCTAATCTTCTTTCTCTGCATCGTTCCAATTTTAACGGATGTCCCGATGGACGACGGAGGCGTTTTCCGTCGGAGCCAATCGAAATGTCCCGCCCGAGGATTAGCAGTGTACTGCGCACGCGGTGTCAGAATCTGAAGACGGATGTACTTGGTCCCACCTTACGGCCAAAGGGGGACAACTGACACGGCTGTTTCGATGCCTGTTTGTGTAAGTGAGAGCGGCCGCGTCGAGAAAGACGGAGACGGAGGCGTTTTCCGTCGGAGCGGGAATTGAAATGTCCCGGCCGAGGATTAGCAGTTGTACACTGCGCATGCTTCCTCTGGGTTTCGGAATGTACTTGGTCTCTACTTACGGCTGAAGGGATCCGGATCCGGGCTTGGGCGGTGGTGAATTTTATATGTACATTCCGCATTTTGCCGCCAACGATAATGAGAAAAGCCAGTGCAATTTCATTCAGCTAATTTCTTTAAGAAGACCAGCGCTTTTTTCCCCCCTGGCAAATCCGTCTTGTTGAAGCGTTTTTTGTTTTTTTTTAATCACGCGGGCGTGCCATCGGCAGAAGGCATCGATGGCTCCCTTCCCTCGCGGTACTTCGCTATCTGTTCCTCGCACGTGTCCTTAGCCATTCTGTTTCTTTTTTTTTTTTCCCCGAAGGGCGACGGCCTTTAGCTATCATCGTTGAACTGACCGACGGCCCCAGGTAATTCAGAATGAGTTATTTTGGTCATCTGATTGTATTTCAACAGGTGGTGGGTGTACCAACTGTGCTAGGCATATTGGTATTCTGTATTTCAGTAGATTGATCTAAATCTACACTTGGAAAACGTTTAGGTAATGTCCCACCGTGCCCTTTTTTAGGCTTTTTTGGACCCCCCAGACCTCGCAAGCGGTGTCTGGGCCCCAATGCTCCTGTGCCAACGGCGGCGGCGGCGTTTTTCGAGGGTGGTGGAGCGAGGCACGATTTCTCGATTTGTGTGTTATCTTTGCGGACCGGTATACCTGACAGACAATAACTAGGAGGAATAGAACTTGCGCCAGCGGTAGGCGTGCTGGAGCGCTCCCTGCGTAAAGCCTTCTTGTCCAGGCCCTCTTTGACTCTTCATGCAGGCCACGGCGTACTTCCGTTTTTTCTTTTTTTGGTGTTTGAAAAGGCAGCCCCGACTTAGTTGAAGGGGTGATAAAAGCACCCGCCCTCGTCGTTGGTACAGCTCCAATTACTTCCTTTTGTGAATGTCCGGCATGGTTGCTTTTTCGGGGAAACTGGTGGATTGCCCTCTCCAGGACCTGCCTGTCTTGTCTTTCCCCGAACATAACGCACCCTCATGACGAATGTATACAAGCTGTCTTTCCCGTTCGAATGAGGGTGCGTTCGATGGGCAGGTCGTGGAGAGGGCAATTTACCAGTTTTCGCGAAAAAGCAACTATGCCGTCTGCATCAGCATAGCTGTACCTGGAGTGAATATTGCGCCAAATACGGCTATAGTGACCGGACGTTCCCTTCGCGCAGTGGCAATGGGGCTCCAGTACGAGTCAACCGAAAGCCCGATAGGAAGAGGGGAGACTAGCGGTGCGGACTGAATAAAGAAGGACGCCTGATCTTTTAATCGGGCCATATAGGCAAGTGAGAAATTATTCCGGGGTTAGTATACAACCCTAAGACTTCGGTGTTGAAAGAAACACAGTAGCTCAAAACGCATACACACATACAACACACAATTTATTGGTGGGGTGGGAGAAACACAATAGGTTCTCCGGGCGGTGGGAGTGTCGGGGAATTGATGTGAATCACCCGCGGCCATGGCCGCGGGGTCAAACTCGGAGGGCGGCCGTGATCACGGCCGCCGCGGCTCCGGCCGCGGATGGGTGCGGCCAAGACTTTCAGGATTTTTTTTAGACTTCAAAAAATGCTAAAAAAATAAACAAAAAATATGGTGTTGTAGATCTTTTCGAGATCTAAATTGCGCAAATTTTTATTTTATTTTTTGATTTCGTCTTTGAATTTAAAAAAATCAAAAACTAATTTTCCTGAGGCAAAAGCTTTTTTTTTTTTTTTTTTTAAAAGAGAAACTATGAAACTTGTGTTTTCTTTAATTTTAAATTCAGTGAAGTTTTTGGATATGACCACAAGGCAAAAGTTGTTCAGGTTATTTTCTGCAAAACATATTGTTTTTCCAGATTTTTTTTTTTTTTTTTCATGGCTGCGGGGTTGCGGCCTAGGCCGCGCATGGCCGCTTGGGGGGGAATTCATAGGCATAATGTTCCATTGATTGGTTGTATCTGGCAGTGCTTGTTGTGTATGTGCTGGCTCTACTTAATATCGTCTGCTTTTTTTGCTTCGTTTTGATGCGTTATCTACATTCTCAGGAGGGCAAACCTTTCATGCTGGAGTCTGTCCGTGATGTTCCATTGATTGGATGTATCTGCTTGTTGTGTATGTGCTGGCTCTACTTAATATCGTTGCTGTTTTTTTTTGCCTCGTTTTGATGCGTTATCTACATTCTCAGGAGGGCAAACCTTTCGTGCTGGAGTCTGTTCGCAAGGCAGAAGCGATTCTAGCTGCAGATCGGTAACAACAGTGTTACTCTCTCTCTCTCTCTCTCCAGACTGTGAAGCCTCATTTCCCTGTCGTTTTGCACTGCAGAATGTGTTTTGAAGTGGAAATGAGCTGCTGCTTCCGCTGTTGTTTACCCGCTTGATACTGTATTGCATTGCCAGTGTTGCACTACACAACACTCGAGTGGAGCTCATAATTGTCCCTGATACGCTCAACATGTTGAGCTCAACCAAATGCACCTGGTCGAGAAAGGCATCCAAATGCATGTAGAATGTTGAGCAGTGGAACGAGGCCCCTTTTTGCTCGTCAGGCCCTTCGAATCAAATGCTGTACCATCGATTCATTGAACGGTTCCTTGCCGGATGCATCTGTGTTGCACCTGGTCGAGAAAGGCGTAGTGTAGAAAGTTCAGTTTCGAGAAAGGCGTAGTGTAGAAAGTTCAGTTTTGCCTTTCCGGAGAGAAGTTGAGCGATGCCTTACTGCCGAAAACCGGGATTGTGACAGTAGAGCGAGGTCCACTGTATCTGGCGATCACAGCATCCAAATAATGGATGATGTCGTTTGTGGTCAATGAATGGGCAAAGCCGTCATCGGTCCGTCGTCAGTGTGGAAGCAGGCCGAGCGGGGGGGCTGAATATTACTCACTCATTCTCGACTCACTATGGGCCTCGCTCCACTACACAACTCTACGTGCATTTGGATGCTTTCTGGACCCGATGCATTCAAGATGATGGATTTTCGGAGTGCTCGGAGTGCACCTGGTCCAGAAAGCTACCAAATGCATGTGGAGTGTTGTTTAGGGAAGCGAGGCCCCATACCGTCTTCAACCTTAATAGATTGCGCGGTCATTATGGCGGTACCTGGACTGAAAGTTGCCCCAAATACAGCTATAATAATGATCGGGCGTTGTATTCGGGTGAAGACGGTAGTTGAAGCTGCTTCCCAAGTGATGTATTATATATTTGTGCAATAGGGATGCTGGACCCATTCACCAGTACATGGTGCTCCCTAATTCATTAATAGATTGGAGCTGTACCGCCTCACTGGGAGGTTGGTCGTTATTGAGTGAGGGATGCTCCTATCATACTCTGGTTGAGCTAAGCGGTAGTAGACCGTCCATTCTGTGCTGATCGACGTGTCCTCCCATGCCATTAGTGTGCTTTTTTATTGGTAAGGTCACCCGTGGGGCCACTCTATTGTCTCCTCGTTGGGCTTCTTCTTTGTTATTGCGTTACACTAACAACTAAAGACAAGAGAGACTGATGTGCCAGTGTTACATGCTGGGCCTGCACACGAGGGCCATTTATGTCCCTGAGGCTGAAAGCCTGAAAACCAGGGCCTACAGGCCCTGTGTCTGTTCAGCTCGAAAGCCTGAAAAACAGGGGCCTACAGACCGTGTGTTGTTTCAGACTGAAAAATGGCAGTAGCCTTTTTAGCCTGAAACGAAGGGCCATTTTCGGTCTGTCATCAGACCGACCTGCCCTGAAACTCAGTCGACGAACCAGGGTTTTGGGAAAGGCTATTTCTGGCCTGTTCCCACGACAGCTGCAGCGCCAGCTCCTGGCTCAGTTCGGCATTGGCACGAGCAGCCTCCTGGACTGCCCTCCCTGCAACTGCAGGCAGTCGGAGGCAGTCAGGAGGCAGGCCGAGGTAGTACATAGGGACTTACCTGCAGCGCCGTTGCTCCAGCTTCGTCTTCGAGGTACCTGCAGCACAGCGCCACCTGGCATACGAGAGAGAGGGTTCTTCTTCCTCTTCTCAGTCTACCATCTCCCTCTCACCCTCTCATTATCTAACTTTACAGCATCAGTAGACAATGAGAGAAAGAGAGAGAGAGAGAGCTTGGTGACATTGGATCCAGACTCGACTTTTGGGCTCCAGATATTTTGAGGGATTATTTGGGACTCGTGACAAAGACTTGGTGTTGACGACATTCCCATCTCTCCCCCCTCTTCTTCGTCTGATCCCCTCCTCTTCGTCTGTGTATGTCTGGACCTGGCGCTTTCTTCCTGTGTATAGCGCCAGGCCCCTTCAGACCTTGTGATGAGCATGATGTATGTTTGGTCTGAGTAGAAACATTGATTGGGCTAGCCATTAGCATTCTAGCATTCTGCTTCGCTATCTTGTAGTCTCGATCAGGTCAGGTCTTGTATCTAAGTCTTCCCTGCAAATAAAGCAGCATTTTGTATGTATCGGAAGGCACATTGCTGGTTGAGATTCTACTTGCACTGCATTGTCCATTCAGTCCTTTTTATCACATTGCGGATCCTCGGTTTATATGTACATCGCCCAGCTGGGCATGTAACAGCCAGGCTGCGCTGGCATCACACGGCCGGTCGGTAGAGTTGCTCCGTCCAAGAAATCACAGGAAACACTTCTTTCCCAAAGTTAAACTCGTATTGTAATACAATCTCACAAAGGTTCTGCTGTACACCGACTCATCAGTGTTTTGGGTGACCACCTCGATGACTACCCTGTGGACCACCTTGGCCAGGCCTTGACAGCCCCTTTGACTCCCGTGTACCTGCCCTTTGACATCCTTTGGTCAGCCCATTGACTATCCTGTTGGCCACCCTGTAGACCGACATGTTGAGTCATTGACCACACTGCCACCTAGTTGGCCAACCTGTTGCCCACCGGTTGACCACCCTGCCCCTTGCTGTCCTTTTCTCAGCCCCTTGACCATCCCGTTGGCCCTGTTGAACGCCGAGTTGACCAGTTGACCACCCTGTTGACTCGTTCAGCTCCCTGTTGTCCATGCTGTTGTCTACCGCTTTACCACCCCGTTGACGGCCCTTAAAAATGCCCTGTTAATGATGTGCTTCCACCTGCTCCTCACTGTCCTTTGGTCAGCCCGTTGACCATCCAGTTTCCCAGCCATTCGCCGTGTTTTTGACTCGTTGACCACCCCAGTGACTCGTTCACAACCCTGTTGGCCATACTGTTGCCCAGTGGTTGATGTTACATACTGCATTCCACACGGGCCCTTTCAGGCCCGATGACTAGGCTGAGGTGTTCCGAGGGCCTGGACGCGATAATCCAGGCCAGGCCGGCCCAAAGGCCGGCCCTTCGGCCTTGCGCAACCGGTTCCAGACCAGGCACTGCAGCCCCAGGCCCTGGGCGGGAAATGGCCAAACGTTTTTCGTTTGGACCAGGCCGCCGTTTAGGCAGCCTGTTTTCTCGAAAACCGGTCCGACCTGAACCACAGATCGGACGATCGACCGGACGGTTCAAATCAGAGGTCACCTTGGGAGGCGAGGTCGGACGATAGACCCGACGGTTCAGATCGGAGGCCACCTTGGGAGGCAGAGGCCGAACTGGCCGCCGGCCGTTATTTAGGCCCAGCCAGCAGCCATTCCAGGGGGAGGAGAGCACGGCAGCACTGAGGAGAGAATGCTGCGCTATTTCCGTTCCAGCGCAGCGCTAGGCAGCAGCACTAGGCATAGTGCTGGCTGTAGAGGTGGTAGTCGGCGTAGGGAGACTTACCTGATGGCCACATCGCAAGCGCCATAGCTCCAGCGGCGCGGGACGGTCTTCGACAGCGGCAAGGCGCCAGGTTGCATCAGCAGGTAGGAGCCTGGCCGCTGACTCGGTCTCCACCTCTTCTCTGCCCCTTTTGGATCTTCTCCTTCTTCAGACTTCTTCTTCTTCAGACTTCTTCTTTCTCTTCAGACTGGAGACCATTGATACGAGTTGGACAGAGATCAGTGATTGGACTTCGGTGGTGGGAGGATGTGGCACTTACCGGATTTGAGACATTGGAGATATTTGGGATTGATACCTGGTGGCATCACAGAGCGGACATCGGTTGCATTAGGATTCTGTATGTTTGACAGGGGTGTCAAGAACATTCTGATTTTGTTCGGTGACATTTTGGGCGACTATGTCGGTGACATTCTGTATTCTATTTCGGTGACATCTGGTGCTGTCCCTATCTCCCACCTCCATCGTCTCTCCACCCACCATTCATCTGTGTATGGGTGTACGGGGCTGAAGCATCGTCTATGTATGGCTTCAGACCCCACCATCGCACGATTGCTCGTGTGTTGAGTGATGTCTGGGTAAGTTCAGTCTATGTGAGGACTTCCGCTGCATATATGCTCATCCTATATTGGTCGAACTTTGGTTCTGTCCATAATTCGTGAATGTATTCACTAGTATGCAACAGTTGACCACCCTGCACTTTGCCGATCTTTAAAGTCTGCTTGCTGGCGAGGGGGGGGGTAAATAGCCAGCATGGCACCTCTTCAACACGAGTGTGTCGTGCTACAAGGCCATGGACACACTGTGGCGAGTGTGTTATGGCAGTGATATACGTACGCGCAAGCCCAGCAGCTGCCTGGGTTCAAACCCCAACAGCAGCAGCTGCATCCCGGATCTTGAAAACTGATAAATCCGGGGGTGGGGCGGGGCAGCGGGCCAGCGTGGGCACGTGGCGCGTGCGTGTGCGGCGGCCGGCCTTGGCCTTGGTGCTTGCACGCACGCGTCGAGATGCTCTCCTCTTTTTCGCCACGTGTCGACCTGCTGCGCCGCCGTTTTTTTTTTTTTTGCCTCGTTTTTTTGAAAAAACGGCCAGAAAACAGCAAAAAATCTTGTATGTCGGGATTTGCTGTTTTCCCGTATGTGCGGTGTGGTGGGTGGGGGCGCGGACCGTTCCTGCTCCGATACCAATGTAGCGGACCCACCCGGTGTGGTGCTCCGCTAGGGATGATGATGGAGATGGAGGATGAGGGAGGAGCGAGACAGCACAGCGCAGCTCCCGCGCAAGACTCCAGCGCACGTACTCCAAAACTATGCGAGTGTAGAATGATCTCGAAAACCGACAATGGCTGGGGTATACCCCAGCGGACTGACGGGACTGGACTGGACTGGCTAGTACCGACAGAGGTACCGGTCCAGATTGGACTGGACTGCCCCCGAATAGAACACGAGGGGCTGGTCTCACAGGCCAACCAGAGGTCCGCTACAATGCGGATCTCATCAATCAAATGCCTATCGGAGCCCAGTGACAA